AATTTTGCTATTGATGGAAATAAATTTCTTAATTTCTCAAGTAATGAATTCATATAATATGGAAATTCCGTCAATTTCGTTCCAACTTGATTTAAATCGTAATTAAATGAATGTCCATAATGTAACTAAAATAATAATAATTGATATGTAATACACGTTTAAAAAAAATACAATTCTGTAAGAAAATATATATATATATATTTATTTATTTATAAATGATACATACAACCATTCGATCTTGAACTGGAATCCATGATTTGGTTGAATATAATTCTTGTAAAATCTCTTTTTCTTGTTCAATCGTAATAAATTCTTCCATTAGCATTAAACCTGGAATATCACTTTTATCCGAATTCTTGATTTGTTTTATAAAATTTTGATAATTCAAATTAACGTATTCAATAAACATGATTTTCCCGTTTAGAGCATCACATGATTTCTCATGAAGTGCTTCTCTTGCATGGAATGCATCATAAGGTGTATTGAATATGATAAATGAATATGGCTGTAACAAAAAAATATTCGGTATACAACAATTATCAAAGTTATCTGAAACAAATCAAAAAAATGGATAATCGATCACTATTACCTTGCCATGTGTTAACTTTAATCCAAGGTAACCATTAAACGATTTAAAAATATTCGATAATTGTTCTGTCGTTACACCCCCAATCCCCCCAAAACAAACGTTAGTTAAGCATAAATATGGTGTTTGTTCTAAGGAAAAAATTTCTTTCACAGGAGCATTTTCAATCTTTTCGATAACTTCATACGCCTGTAACTTTTTTAATTGAATCCTTTTTAATCTTCTTGATTCATTACGTGTTAATGATAATGAATTATCTTTTGTGGAAGATGATGTTGTAAATACTTCGTATTCAAGATTATTTTTTGTCATTATCATAATTTATAAATTATTCGAAAAAAAAAAAAATAAAAAAGATTGAGATTCTTATTTAACAAATAAGGAAGCGGGTGAAAAAATTCGCTTACAAACATTGTTTATATAGATAAGGGAAAGATCTAATGAATTCAATCTAAAGATTTGAATTTACATAACGTGTAGCATAATTGATTATCAATACATGTGATTGATTATCTTCTAGGCTTATCATCAAAAAAAAAAAAAAAAAAAAAATTATATATTACCTCGGTTATATATACTGTATACATATATCTATATTGTATATATATATTTTTTTTTTCTCGAGACAAAATATCAAAACAAAATTATGGCTGCTGCACCCCCTACTCCCTTGGCAACCGCTACTACCGCTACTCCTGGCGTTACCGTCAAAACTGAAAAACGTGAGTTGTGAAAGCCCTGGTTATTTTCTGAAGAGTGTAATTCAACGACGTTGTTTTTTTAAAAAAATAAAAAATAAAAAAAACAAAAAAAATCTTTTTTCTATTTATTATGATTCATTATCATTAGCTCTTCCCTTCTTATTTCACTTTGCCGCTGGAGGTATAGCGGGAACAAGTGAAATTCTTGTTATGTAAGTTAACATATCCATTTTTTTAGGGTACATGTAATCAGATTGAATTCTAAAGTTTTGATTAATTTAACAATCCTAAATAATAGGTATCCGCTCGATGGTAAGATATCAATCAATACTCCATTAAATACTTTGGCCCATAAATAATCATGAACTTTTACAATAATTAGTCGTAAAGACGAGGTTTCAATTACAAGTTGGATCGGGCGCAGGAGAAGAAGTTTATACTTCAGTCTTGGATTGTTTCAAGAAAATCATTAAAAATGAAGGGTAAATCATTAAATTTTTAAATTACATTTATGTTTCTTATTAAATCGTTGGAAAACTAAATTCCTTTTTATGGGGTGTATCGATCAATAGATTTAGTCGACTTTATAGAGGAATACTTCCTCCAATTCTTGTTGAAGCACCGAAAAGAGCGATAAAGTTTTCTGCTAATGAACAATATTCTAGGATACTCAAATTAATTAATGGTAAAGATAAAATGGATCAGTCATTATCTATTCAAGCGGGTATTGCTGCCGGGTGTACCGAAGCTGTTGTAATTGTACCTTTTGAACTTGTTAAGATTCGTCTTCAGGATAAAGGAAATGTAAGTTTTATTTATTACAAATAAGGAGAGATTTTTTTTTTTCTTTTTATATTAAATCTTTTTTTTTTATTGATTAAAATAAAATAGGCAGGAAAATACAATGGTACTTTTGATGCAATAACAAAGATTGTTAGACATGAAGGACCTCTTGCTTTATTCAACGGATTAGAGGCTACAGTATGGCGTCATGCCACGTGGAACGGTGGATATTTCGGCAGCATCTTCAGTATTAGAAAAGCATTACCAAAAGCAGATGTAAATATTATTTAAAAATGATAATGTTCTTCGTAATTGATTATTTTCGAAATTACTTAAAATTTATTTATTTATTTTTTTTTTTAAAGAATAAACAACAACAATTAAGAAATAATTTTATCGCAGGAGCAATTGGTGGTACAATTGGTACAATGTTAAATACACCATTTGATGTAGTTAAAACTAGAATTCAAAATGATTCTGGTACTGTTAAAAAATATAATTGGACGATACCTGCTATCAAAACTGTTGCGCAAGAGGAAGGGTAATTCATTAAGCTTTATATCTAATATTTTTATTATTCTTTTTTTTTTTTAATCCTTTTTTTTTTTTTTTTGTAGTTTCGGCGCTCTTTATAAGGGATTTGTTCCCAAAGTACTTCGTCTTGGACCTGGGGGTGGTATCTTATTAGTAGTATTTGATCAAGTAACAACTTGGATGAGAAAATATTTTACATAAAATATGATTTATATTTTATAAATATCGTCATAATTAGACAGACATAAATGAAACACTTACAATATCGCTTTATAATATTTAACGAAATTTTGGAGAATTAATTAGATTTTTTTATTTACATTTTAATTTGATGAAAAATATAGAAAAAATCGAATAATTTAAAAATTTTCATCTATAATAACCTTTTTACTTATTTATATGTAAAGATTCCTGTAATTTTTTATTTAAAAAAAAAGAGTTATCGTAAAAATTATTAGTGGATTTATTCCAACATTAATAATATAAATTTGATTAGTTCGAAATTTAAAATAATTAAATAGGTGACGATAGTAGAACTATTTAAGGGTTTTATTTTCGTAATGACTTGTCATAGACCCGATAATACTTGCCAAAATACGAAATATTAATTTAACCTATTTAAAACTTTAGAATACGCAATTACTTTTTTTTTGAAGTAAATGAATGTTCTATTAAGAAATATATTATATTATATATATATAAATATATATAAATGGAAATTGTAGACTATTTGTACTATGATCATTCAAGTAAGATTAGCGCTATTAATAGTACTATTATAATTAGGAAATATGGGTTGCGTCGCGTATGCGAGATTAGGTTGCGATACAGAATTATTATTCAAACTGGATTGTTGACCGGTTGTCGGATTACCGTACGTTTGGGCGGTATAACTGGTAAATTGTTGTGTCCCAAACAGTGGTTGCTGAGATGCGAAATGGGACAATTGCTGTTGAAAATATGGAGCATAGGTTGATTGCAATGCGTGGTAAGGCTGATTCAATCCCATTCGATTTCCATATCCACCTAGTAAACGATTGAACATTAATAAAAGAAAGATCGTACGTTTCCTGCAATCGCATTATATTCGCTCACCGGTGTTGTTATAATTAGCACGGTTCACATCAACACCAAGGTAATTATAGGTTGTTCCGATAAAATTATTGTTGCTAAAATTGTTTTTTTTTTTTTTTTGAAAATTAAATGATTCTTTTTTTAAGTTCCATACCCAATTTTGAGAGATATATATATATATTTTTTTTTTTAAAAAAAAAAAGATGGTTTACTTTGTAACAATTCTTTTATTATTGCCAGGAGCATTCGGATCCCCTTTAACAGCAATTCCATTCGGTCCACTAACGTTAGCGGCTTGAAGGCCTTTTGGACCTTTGATCAAGTCAAATTCCACCTGTAAAATATAATAAGAGTTAAAGACAGATATACCTATGAACATGAAAAATTGATAGATAATGAAACCACTTACATCTTCTCCCTTGGAATATGAATTAAGAACGAATTCGGATGAACGATGACATGGAAAATAAAGTGGATATAAAGAAGTGGAGATGACATATTAGGAATAGAAAACGTAGAAGAAAAAAAAGTGTACTTAATGGACTGAATTTGCACTTATTGATACCTCAGCAAGGCTCTTAAAACCACCATTGTTATGAATTGCAGTATGATGCACAAAAACTTGAATAAATTAAATTCACCACATATAAAGTAAAAAAAAATAAAGCAGATAGACAGAGAATTACAGAGTATAAAAAAGAGTTAAGATATGCAAAAATTTTGGTACAACATAAGAAAATCGTGTGCACAGGCCAAACATCATTTTTTTGATCGAGATAAAAAAACTAGATTGCTCTGCGCCACGTTTTAGAACAATTATTACTTTTTTTGGAATAATCAAAAAAATAAATAAGTTCTCAAAATTTTAAGTTTCTAAAACGCCAATTTATTAATCAAAACAGGAAAATAATTTTGCACAAGTATAAATTAAGCAAGTAATCATAAAATCTTGATTTTAAAAAAATTTTGTTATTCTCACCTTCTACTTTTTCACCAAGTCCAAGGTTATGAGGAATGATAAATCCATATCCTTTCTGACAGTTAAAGAATTTGACTTTACCTTGCTTACGACCGTAAGGAATTGTATTCATGATAAAATAACGCGTACCTTCTGTGATAATAATAGACAAAAACCGGTATAGTCAAGATAATGAGTTAAGGAAATTCAAAGTTCATTTATGTTAGAAACTAGTTTAAACAAGCTTAAAAAACTCGTAAAAAGATGATAAAAATCATTTTCAAAGAATCCAATAACTTACCGGTTTTGAGATCTCAAAAAAAAAAAATAAATAAATAAAAGTAAAACACGAACGTCTGAAAGTATAAATAAAGAAAAAAAGAAAGAATAAAGCTATAAATTAAACAAAAAGGGGAACGAGGTAAGAAATATTCTTGCGGCTAGAAAATCTTTTTAAATAAAACAGAAAAAAAAAATTTTTTTTTTGAATTATGTAAAAATTCTACGAAAACTTTTTAATAAATTTCAGGAACGATCATTTATAAACACGGGATTTTTTTTTTTTTTATACTCTGAAATTTAGTCTTTTATATTAGTCATTTAATAATGATATTATGTTGCGTCATAAAGTAAAACAAAATGAATCATAAACTAGATATATGGTAATTAAAAACCCGAGAAAATCAGAAGAGATGGTTTATATAAATAAAAAAAATAAACATATATAACTTGTTCTGTATTATTATAATTGTCTTTTTAGATCATCATTTAGGATATTTATTTATTCTGTCAATAAACTGTTAACGTGAACGTGAAAAAAGATAATTTTTTTCCCATTGTTTGACGTTTTCTTAAAAAAAAAAAAAATTTCCATTCCATAATAAGGTAATTATTTTATGATTAACTTGATCAATAACCAAAAAAAATAATAATTTTTTAAGATTTTTCAAAGATAATTACCTAAAAACACATCTTGAAAAATCATCGTATCCGGAAAATTTAAACAAGTTTGAGGAAAAAGAAATCGATGGCGTCTTATATAAAACAATCAGAATCAAATGACAATTGTAAAAAAATCATTTCATTGTTTTGATTTTTTCCTTAACATATACAATAAATTTTCAACAATTCGTTTAGGGGAAATCAGATTATAAATGATTGATTGATCTACCATGAAATTTAAATTTGGCTGGATTTTTAACTTTGTAGTGCAGGCCACTTAATTTATAAATGATCACGTTGGCGCAATATCCAAATATAGATTAGTGGCTTTAGACTGGTAAATTTGACCCACCGAATTTACATTGTTTGAGCACTTTTTTATTTTTAACTTTTCAACGGTACATTGATTTTTGCAATTATTCGTAGTGTTCGTTTTCCTCCTTGTATGTATCGTAAGGGTTAGCTTCATCACTGAATCTATATAACCATCGGGTATATATCATGATCAATGTCGGCATGAAATGTATGAACCTTTCATTCGAATGCAAAAAGTAAACTAGAAAAAAATTATAGGAACGGTTTCTATCGAAGAAAACCTTAAAGTGGAGATATTAACAATTGACGAAAAAAAAAAAAGGTATGGAATCCATTTTTTTAGTTGTAAAAATAGAAACCAATTTGTAAGGTGGGTTTATAATCGCCGATGGTAAGATATTTTGCCAATTTTAGTGGAAAAAATTCCACCAGTCAAAATGCATGGCTGTGAAGTTATCGGCGTTTACCCGTGAAGTTGCTCCGGTTCAGACAATGCTATTCTAATTACTCCACGGTCCCAAAAATATAATTATGGGCGTGTAATTCCGAGAAAAATTAAATTTTGATTATCTTTCCATCTAAGCACCTAATAAAGGCAATGAATTATCTTTTGTTGTTCAATAATATTAAAAAATCGTTGTTAAAATTAGGTTTCAAACATATGGTGTTTCAGCCAACAAGGCCTAAAAGTTATTTTACTGCGTCTAACGAGAAAATTAAACAATTAAATAATTAAAAAATCAACATATTTATTGTTGTTTATCGGAGTAACAAATTACATTCCACTAAAACATCTCTGTGTCGGAGTTATGATTTTAAGTTTATGATTAAATGTTTCACGATATAAAACCTTTATACGATAATTAATTCGATTAACAATTAAAAATTTTCGAATATAATGGATCAGTTTTGAACTCTTTTTTTTTTTTTTTTTTAAAAAAAAACATCAATTTAAAATCTTTACACTTTATAAATCTTATAAATACTCACAAACAAATCTTATTTCAAATTTTCGATTCAATTATTAAAAGATGGGAAGACATTCGATATCTAGGGTAGAAGCACCTAAATTGTATAATCCTTATTCTTATCATCGACCACATTTTGTAAGATGGAAAGGCTCTGTCATCCCTAAAGTCCTTCCTTCAACAATCGTGGTCACCATAATTGCCGTCATTGTTTGCATTATACAATTAGTCGTCGGAATAAAAATAAGTATTCAATCATCGTTTATTACTATACTTGGTTTCGTTGTTGGTTTATTATTAACCTACAGAACGAATACCGCTTATGATAGGTAAGAAAGAAATCCTTATTATTTATTTACTTTTTAAGAGTGAATGCAGTTCGTTTTGGCTCATCCGTGACGATTATTTTTATTTCATTTTAGATACTGGGAGGGAAGACGTCTTTGGTCAACAATGGTTGTCTCTATACGTAATTTAACGAGAAATATTTGGGTAAACATACAAGAAGGTGATGATGAAATAAATGATTTATTAGAAAAGAAAACGGCAATTAATCTTTTATTAGGATTCGCGGTAGCAACAAAACATTATCTCCGTGAAGAAGAAGGGAGTCAATATGCCGACCTTAAACCTTTAATTTCAAATATCAAAACAAGTTTACCAGGATTTAAACCTTTAGATGAGCAAGATTTAAGTGAAAATGAAATCAAAACCGGTAAACGAACAAGTAAAAAATTATTTGCCTTGAATGAAAAACCTCCTTCAATAAATCATAACCTTCCTTTGGAAATTTCGCATTATATTTCTTCTTATATTGATGATCAAAGAAGAAAAGATAAAGTTGATGCTCCATCAGTAACTTCCATGTACAATGCTTTAAATACTTTAGTTGACTGTTTAACTCAATTTGAAAGAATTTTAAGAAGTCCAATTCCTTTAGCTTATTCTATTCATTTAAGCCAAACTGTTTGGATTTATTGTCTTAGTTTACCATTTCAATTAGTTGATACTGTTAAATATGTAACTATTCCTATTGTTTTCTTTGCGACACTTGTCTTAATGGGTATTATGCAAATTGGAGAAGAGATCGAAAATCCTTTCGGTTATGATGAAAACGACTTGGATTTAGATGATTTCTGCGGGTAAATACTTGACGAGAGATACATTATTATTATTATTATTTTACTTTTTTATGCATCGTTTTTAACCATTTATCTTCTTTTTTTTTTTTTTTTAGTATCCTTAAACGTGAATTAAATACAATTACTTCACATCCCAAACCGACTGTTGTAGACTGGGTTTACAATTCTAAAAATCGTCCATTTGGGCCTGAGGAAGTTACCGCTTCCGAAGCACGTAGATTATCTTTAGATGAAGTTCGTGATTTACTTACAACTTCTTTCATTGCTGATAAAAGAGTTTCTCTTGATAATACTATCAATGAAGGGTCTGATGTTACAATTAAAATTATTTAAATTATTTTAAAAAAAAAACATTGCATTTAGTAATTTTATTCTACATTTAAAAATCATTCATTAAGTCATTTTTTTTTTACCTGTATTAATTAAAAATACTCTAATCTAATATTTATAAAGATTTAGTAATATATTGGATCTATTTCTTTTAATCAATATATACAATTATTATTACAAAATTATCAAGAAATATCTAGTAATGATAAAAGACAAAAAGATTGTTTAAAAAAATAGGTTATATAATATAATAATTAAAATTTATTATACAGAATTAGGAGTTTAGATAATAGAAAATATCATCTTTTTTTATATATATAATTAATATTAAAACTTTACTATTTACTGTATAAAGCTAATTAGCTAAATGTTTTGAAAGAAAAAGTCCCAAAAATTTAAAGCTCATTGTTAGTGGTAAACTATTAATAAATTTCATTCATGAGTTTAAAATTGTTTTAAAAACAATAATTTTTAGCTTTCGGAGATGTATCTAATTTTTCAATTTATTTTACGGATTTCTATTTATTTTTAATTATACTGGTAATAAAATTATTATTAGTAATTTATGATAAAATAATCTGATTGGTACCATACAGTTAAAAAAAAACAAAAATAGTAGTCAGAACACGAATAACGAACGCTTGATATATAACTAACGATTAATCAATAATTTTAATTTTAAAAATTTTTATTCTATATTAAAACATAAAAATCGCCAGTTGATTTATCAGAATAAAGTGACCACATGGTTCTGCATCATTTTTTCGTTGAACACTTATATTTTCCGGTTGGTTCATATTGATCGAAATAACTCCATATCCAAAATTTTCTTATACTTCCACTGCTTCTATTTGTTTCCTGCTAACTATTTGGATTCCAGTTCAATTACAGGCCCATTTGGAGCTAAATGTTGTTGGTTTGATAGTTCACGTACTCTTTGTCTTGGCCTTTTTGATCCGCCTGCTCTTGACATTATTACAGTATTATATCTGTGGATATCCACCGTAATTTCTTATCCGTCAGCTAAATTGATATCTAGATATCTACGGACCTGACCTCTATGATATTTTTATCTATCTTTACTGCGCATACTTATACCATTTTTATATTTTCATTTATACTACAGTATATCTTCATCGTAAAAAAAAAAAAATTATAAATATTTTTCGGTGTAAATTCTTAAAACTGCAGCTTTATTTTATTTAAAAAAGAAGGGCAAACAATGTTACGAAATCCTCTAACATGTATTGAATTATGGTTTTTATTTCAATTTCTATTACTTGACGTAAATTGTCAAATGATACCTTTTAAACCAAAAAACCGAAGGGATCATACTGCAACATATATTGATGATAAATTGTATATTTTTGGTGGTTCTCATTTGTCTACCGATGGAAATTTTTTTTATCATGATTTTTCTGTTAAATTTAATACCAAAAATTTATCATGGCAAGATTTATCAAATATTAAATCTGTTCCTCCAATACATTATGGCGCTGCTTCTGCCAGGGGCGGTGAAAATAATAATACGTTATTTTTATATGGAGGAGTCGATTATGATCCTAATATGGCGTTAGTTTATACATTTGACCCACAAAATGAAATATGGAGTGTTCCAGAAATAAAAGTGCCTGATATTAGTGTTAATGTTCCTAGAAAAGATTTATTGACGGGAATTGTTGATTATAATGGAAAAATGTATTTATGGGGTGGACGGAGTGTTGATGATATATTTTAGACACAAAAAATCTTCGTTGGTTAAAGGGAAGTTCAGCTAATGCACCAATTTCCCGTTTTATTTATGGTGCTACTATAATGTCTCGAAGTATTATTTATACGGGTAAGAAGTAATTTCATTTCAGAGATTACAATATTATTAGTATTATTTTATTTATCGATTTTATTCCTAAAAAAAAAAATGTTATTTAAGGCGGTTTTCGTCTAGATACAGGAACACTACCATTAAATGAGGTAAATCGTTATTGTACTTATTAACCTTTCATTTTTTTTCTTTATATGACTAATTAATTTTAATTACTTGTATAGGTCTTTATATATGATACAATTAACAATAGTTGGAGTACAAAAGTCAGTATAATTCATATAATTAATAATTAATGTAAAAATTTTAATTCTTATTCTATCGCAAATTCAGACAACTTCAGGAAAAATACCTTCTGCTAGAGATGAGTTTTCTGTAGTTCTTGGTATATATTTTTAAAATTAAACGTTTTAATTATCAAATCTTAATAAAATAATCAATTATTTAAATTTAATAGGATTAGATGGTCAAAGAATAATAATGTTTGGGGCTATGATGCTCGTGACATTGAAATCTATGATTCACTTTATGTGTTAAATTTAAACAATTTTGAATGGTATATTCCAAAAATCTCTGGACAAATTCCAAAAAAACCGAAATAGTCATGAAGCAAATGTAATTGGAAAATATATGGTTATATCATTCAAAATTAATTTCAGCAATATTAATTAATATAATTATAATAATTTAATAGGAGCAAGATTTGGTATAAATTGTAAGTATATTTATTATCTTTAATTTGAATATTGGAAATTAATTTAATAAGGTTAATATATTATATACTAAATTTAATAGCTGTTAACAAAGTTGATTATGATCCGTTAGATGGAGGTGATATTTTACTACTTGATATTAGTAATAATGATGAATATGTATGGACAAATGAGTTTGAACCGCTATTATCGTCATCAACAAATACAACTTATCCATCATCAAAAACTGCAACTTCTCCATCACCATTTAATAATTCACAACAATCTAATAAATCATCACTATCTGCAACTAGCATTGCTGATGCAGTTGCGGGAACTTTGTTCAGTGGTATTTTACTTTTATTAGGTTGTTTCTTTTTATATAAATGGAATCATAAGCGAAATAAATTACTAATTCCTGGAAGTGAAAATCGAGAATATATTTTTACTAAAGGAAATAATAATAGCCAAAAAATGGCACAATTGACAATTAATAATAATTACAATCATCATGGAAAAGAAGTATTACAAGCACCTAGGAATGAAAGTACAACTAATCATGAATTATTAACAATTTCAGAATTAAAAGATGATATACTTCAGACTCTTAAACATGATAATAACAAGAAGATATCATTACAAAATATAGATAGTGAAGCTTTACAAAATTTACAAAATAATGGACAAGCTTCTAATTCTAATATTACAAAGTAGTTTAACTTTTTGTTACTGTTTATTTTATATTTATAAGCTAAACCTAACAAATTTCATAATAAATATAATAATATGATATCATTAATTTTCTTACATAATGTATATTAAATACAATATATATAGTATATTAAATTAAAAAAATACTAGAATAAAATAAAAAATTTTTGCTATAAAAGGGTTAACAATTTATCATAATCTAAATCATCAATTTATATTTCAATTTATTATTAATATAATAAATTAACTTTTTGTTTTTAATTTTGATTTTGATTTTGATTTTACATTTTTTTTTTATAAGAAAACTATCATTTAAACTGTTTTTTACTATTAATAATTTAAACAGCCATATTATTTCAAATTAATTAAATCTTAAATATATTAATTATTGTAAATATTAGAATATTAATATATAAAATTTTATTTTTTCTGTAAATTGTTATTTCTTTTACTAAATTTTTCCTAATTTTAGTAAAAATTAGTTTTTATTTTCTAATTAATTATTTATTCAAAAGTTTAAAATATTATTATTTAATTTTTTAATCCTTTACAAAAAAAATTTTTGAGTTTTTTCTTTAGCTTTGATTTCTTATGTAAAAATAAAAAAAAAAGTATTATTTAATTATTATAAATATTAAATAAAAATAAATTGTAAAATAATACTTATTTCTAAAGCTTCAGAATTATCAATAATTTTAACTAAAGCTAAAACTGAAGTATTTATCATTTATTTATGTCAAATTTTTGATAGTAGCTAAATTTTTCTATATCATCTTAATAATTTACTTATTTTATAATTTAAAATCTATTTAGTATCAATATATAGTGACGATCAAAAATATTGCATCACCCGAATACAAAATTTAAAATGAAAATATCTTGTAATTTTAAAGGCACAGTGTTACAAAACTTAAATATAGAGTTCGTCATACCTTAATCTTTATCAATCTCTTTCATCTTTTTTTT